AGCAACATGGGTTGAAATTAATTTACTAATTTGAATAAATTAATTTTTATCTTAAACTCAAATCTGTGGTCCATTTCAGATTGAAGGTAGGTTTGGGAAGTTATCAGGTGAATAGTAGAAATCAGATAGCACCTAACACGATACTAATGCTGGGTGGAGGGAACAAGGCACGCATAAAGACAAAACACATGTCCATTGATTTTGTCCCCTTAGTATTTGCCTTTCGTGCGTATGCTTGGTCCCTCCTAGAACAAATCTCTATGCTATTTGATTGTTTTTATGAACTACGTTTTTGTCTTCAATTTAATACCCGCTTGATTAATTTAAAAAAATTAAAGAATAACTAAATTACTTTAAATACTTATATTTACTATTTTTCAAAATTAACTTACCCTGCTTATAAATCAATATATAATCTGATGATGTATATAAATATTTTAAAGGAATCATATAATATATACTATAATTAGGTAAAAAAATTTAATAAATTTTTTTTAATTTTTTTAAATTAGTTAATATAAAAATGAAAATCACGATAGCGTGAAAGCGACGCTCTGCGGTTGAGTTATATATCTCTTATTGTCTGGCCCCAGTGGATGGAACGGAACGGAACAGAGTCCTTTGGAGGTATGGTAGGTGTGCTCAATGCGATTGACCCATCAACACTCAAAAACGCAAACACAGGAGAGTATCGTCAAGGTCAAGTTGCATTCGTTTTTGTGAAATTATTGGACTCTCAGAATGAAACAACCTGCTCTCTTATCCTTGGATGGACGGCTATGATCTAGGCTTCTATTTATACACACTTTACTATCCCCTGTCTTTAGTATAAGAGTTAATTGATTAATTTGAATACATTAATAAAACTAGTTAAGTTATTTATTATCAAAATAAAAATTAAACAAGATCTTATATAAAAAACCGGAAGTAGTATCATATCTATATAAAGCGCGCCAAGTATATAAAGGCGCTCTCACTACATGGAGTTTGAGCATAAATAAATGTATACATTTCTGTCCAGCGTCTTCAAAATTTAGTGACCGTTTGGATTCACATTTCAGCAGCGGTTAAGTAGTTTTTAAGGCTCAAAAGCACTTTTCACATGTTATGAGATGTTTGGATAAGCGTCTGGGATATTTGACTTATGGGTCACAAGATGGAAGAACAAAAGCACAATCGCAGAAGTAGATGATGCGTTTTGGTTTTTGGTTTTTCCCTTGATGCTCCTGTCTGTGTGTGTCATTTAATTATATAGCATGTTTTTTGTTTTGTATTTTTTTTTTCAATATATAAAAGACAACCACTTAATTTGAGATTAAACTTGATATCTATGCAAAATTTGAATTTGAATTTTCATAATTAGGAAGTATTATTTGATTTAAAAATTTTACAATATTTCTAATTTAAATATACTTTATTCATTAAATATCTAATTATTTTAATTTCATTGTATTATGTGAAATCATTTTTTAATCATGCTTCATTATTTATTAAAACTTATACTCATTTTAGTCATTTTACAACTAAACTTACTTTTACTCAACCATAATGCAAACAACTTTTTATCAATCCTACTTTTGCAAACTAACTTTTCTGAATTTAAATTCAAACATAATTCAGTTTATCCAATTTAACTTTTACCCAACTTCACTTTTTCATAAGTCAAATTGACAATAAGCTACTTTTCCAATCGCTAATCTAAACGGACCCTTAAACTTGTGACCTCCTGATCACATAGAGGTCACTTTAATGCTGCTTTAAGGCTTACCCTCTTATTATATCTACATATATATAATGTGTAATTTATACTTCCTCTGAGTTTTAAAATACAAAAATATTATATTAAAAAGATTAAAATTAAACATGCTTTTGTAAGCATTGAATAGCAGATTCATCATGTAAATTAGATGAGTTAGCATTTGATGTCAATGAGCATAGCCGACTGAAAATATACTTTATAGACTTAAATAATTAGAATAAAATTTGATGTAAATTTAGAAGACATAATATATGCTTTTACTAAAAAATAAAAAAAAGACATCTAGACCTATTTGTTAAAAAAATGTTACGGTCAAATTGACTATAATTTGTTTCTTATAAATAGGTCTAGAGGTAGCAGTTTTCTTTTGTATTTTATAAAATATTTTTAAAAAATCACTCTAGACTCATGATTAGGTCCTTTTACAGATAATCTGGGTTTCATATAATTGCTAAAAGAATACCATGGATATGGATTCTCCACCATTAAAAGGAAAAGAAAAAGTCGGTTCCTGTCCCCAAAAACAGAAAGGGCAAAAAAAGAAAAAAGTTGATTTCGATTATGAAATTTGGAGGTCAAAAAATAATACCAGCAATAGGCTGATATTGACCAGGAAGAAATAAACTTCTTTTTATGGAAATTTCTTTTTAAACAGTAATTACGAAAAATAATTAAGTAATCCAGAATGTCTGCACCCATCAAATTGCAAACCCAACAAGCAACAAGCACCATAAAACTAATCATGGATGTTATTTATTAACTATAAAATTTATACTCTGTAAAAGCTATAAATAATTTAAGTGGGCAGTTTTTCTATCTTCTCATTTTTTATATGATAATAAAAAATGAAAAAAAAAGGATAGTCATGGGTCAACCACTTTCTAGATTCCAAAGGAAACTACAAATTTTTTCTGATGACAAAACCTCCCAATTTCCATGGCTTAGAGCACTTTTACAAGATAAATTATGTCCATCAATTCAAAGGTGAATGGCTAGTGGCCATGCAAAAGAAAGTGCCTTCAAAGTGGAACACTTATCCTAAAGACCCACTTGCTTGTTGTATTCAATGCATTATAAAATTAAAAAAAAATTTCAGAGAGAACTCTAACGTTAAACCTGAAGGTATTGATTATTGCTATAAAAGTGCCTTCACAATGGCTTTATAGAAAAATTAGAATTTCATTCTTTTAATTTTATACAATTTCTCATTTCTGTTTCTTAACTTTATAAAATGTATTTTTAATAATCTAATCTCAATACGATTAATGTTATTAACAAAAGAAACTAAAATTAAAACTTTAAATTTTGACAATCTTGATTTGGAATTTTTGGTTAAAAAACTTGATTTTACAATTAGTAATTTTAATTTTTTTTTGTATTCCATTTTAGAATTCTACGTAATTGAAATAAATAGATTGAAAAATATGAAATTGGAATAAAGAACATGATGGTCATCCCCTTTCATCCCACCATTTCTTCATTAAAGTTTTTATTTTCAGTTACGAAAAGAGCCTTTTGAATTTTTTTTTCTGTGAATTTTTTATTCATCACACAGCTCAATGCTTTTTATAGGATTACACCACTTCGTGTAATTAACTAACAATACATTATCCGATGTGATGTTGTTGGCCTTTGGCATTTGCTAAAGGCTGCCACGATTTAGTTTTAATGAAGGGTAGGTAAGCTCATGATAAAATGGTCAAACAAAGCGTAACAATTTAATTTTGTTTATTTTCCACTTAGTTAAAACAATTATCATATGTCTAATCTTTTTCTTCATTAATTAAGAGTGTTTTACTTTAATAATATAAACTTTTATTAATTTTATTGAAGTTATAAAACATATTCGTGCTTCATAATATACGTAAATTTGTTTTGAAGTCATGAGCTATAATTCGCTTTAGTTAAACTTTAAACCTTTTTATCCCAATATTCCTTAATCTCTTTTCAAAAGTTTTAATTAATCTCAATATATATAATTTTATTATGAGAAAATTGAGAAAAATGCTTAAAGTAAGTCAGAAAAACATACTACTTCCGGTCATAATTATAAGAGTTAGTTGACTAATTTGATGAGATTAAGGAAAGAAGTTAAGTTAGTTATTTGTAATAAATATGTGTTGTTTTTTCTAAAATATCCTTACTAATCAAGTATATTGGTTAGAATTACTATTGCTAGAAGGACTCCCTTGAAAAAAAATACATAAATATGAGGGACAACGTGAATTGAGGTTTTATATTTAGAACCAAAATAAAAGTCAAACGAGGTCTTATATTAAGGACCGGAGGTAGTATCATATTAACTAATTTAACTAATATTTACTAATTTAACTAACATTTTTAATCTTCTGAAATTAGTTAATTAGGTCTTACATTAAAGATTGAAAAAGTAATGATATTAAAAGTGATTTGAGCACTTTTAAAAATTATCTTTTGCATTTTACTTAACAAAATTTCTTTTATATATTTATCTTATATAATAAAAATTACTTCAAGTAAATTAAACTAAATACCTTCTTAATCTCAATCTTGTTAGTTATACTACCTCTGATCCTTAATATAATATCTTATTTGATTTTTATTTTGATTTTAAATATAAGACCATAATCTACTTTGTCTATCATATTTATGTATTTTTTTAGTCATTCTAATAATGGTAATTCTAACTAATACACATGATTAGCAAGGATATTTTTAGAAAGTTAACATCTATTTATTACAAATAACTAATTTAACTTCTTTCCTTAATCTTCTCAAATTAGTCAACTAGTTCTTATAATTGATACTGGAGGTGCTAACTTGTAATTAATTTAATACATTACCTTTAATTTTTAATATAAAACCTATAATTTGTTTTATATTATAAATATTTTTAAAAATACAGTAGATACCAGTGCCAGATAGCATTAAATTCCAAGATCTTTTGGCCCAAATAAATTGTCATATTAACCTAGAAAAATAAGAGTCGGTCCTGCAATCAAAACATGTGATTAGGCTAACGCTTAAAAACTCTTACATCTGCAGTCAAAACTTACGGTTTTCAACCATCTTCCCGTAGTCAGAATCTTGCAAAGCTAGTTCATCCGTCCTGAAGAAGACGACCCTTCCTGTTATTTTCTTTCAGGTTTTCTCAATCAAATAAGGCGGCAACAAAAGGCCCTGCCTTTTTTTCTTCATCCCTATTTGAATGTGGGCTTTATGCTCCGTAGCCTCCTCCTCCTTCCTTGACTTGAGGTAAAGCATTAGCTGATATTGTATCAATTGTTCACAAGCTTCTTGACGCTTTGTTGTCTCTGAACTTGAGTTCTGTAATTCTCGGTGATCTTGCGTCATGGAATAGGAACCCTAGTTTTCTGGAGCATCTGTAACAGGCTGCAGCTGATCGTTCGTGATACAATTGGTCCCTTCTTCATATATACTTCTTATTCTCTGGCATTGTTGACGTTGGTTTCTTTCTTCCTTTATTTTGTTATTTTTTTCATCGGTGCTGTGAGATTTCTGGTGACAGATTTCTTGAACTTGAGGCGGTCTTTTGGCAGGTTGTAGCGTGAAAGGAAGGTAGGTGTATTATCGGCAATGGGCGAGCCGAACAATGTGAAGCGGGCTATTGTTGATGCTTCGGCTGGGGCAATCTCGGGTGGTATATCACGGACAGTGACATCGCCGCTTGATGTTATTAAGATTCGATTCCAGGTCAGTTCTGGTTCGTTGCCTCTTTTTGACCGTGAATTTTAAGTTATTTCGTCTGGGTAATTTCAAGCTATACTTCATGCCCATGAATCCTCCGTCGCTATTGAGTGCTGTCTGTTGTTAAAGCTGCTAGAAACTCCACGAGGAGTGGTAGGCTGGTAGCGTGGCAGCTGGAAAAAGAATAAGACAGATAAATATGACTCAGTAATACTGGGATTTGAATCTCCTCCTTCTTCTACTTTTCTTTTCTCTTCTGTTTAGGTGGAGGGATGGTGGAGGTAAGAGGGAATATTAGCTATTGCCCGGCAAAACTTTTAATGGTCACATGTTTCTTTTCAACGATTGTAATCAATTTCCACATCGTTCGAATGTATAAACTGTGGGCTTAGACATGGTTTGGAAAGTTAATTTTATTCGAACAGATTAGCTCCCTAATAATACGGTTTATGGCCATCTGGCAGTTGCTTGAGGCAGATCTTGTATCTTATAAGCTAGGCAATATAGCTTGAATAAGAGTATGGTGTGAATTGCTGACAAGAGGTGGGTACTTTATGAACATAAAGTTGATTTAATTTGTCACCTTTCGTTAGAAATAGTTGCTTGTCATTGTGGTTTTTCTATATACCTGTAATATTAAATGTATTGTGTATTTCAGTTTTGCCTTATTTTGATTGTTAGATTTGCAGCCGTTTTTTGTTGTCTGCTTTCAAGTTGAGCAATAAGCTGAAGATGCCTTTTTTCCTTCCTCCCCTCATTTCTTTATAGGTTCAACTAGAACCCACATCATCACGGGCTTCACTACGAAAGCAATTGTATGTACCATCAAAATATACTGGGATAGTTCAAGCAAGTAAAGATATTTTTAGAGAGGAAGGCATAAAGGTAGGAAAGCTCAGCTTCTTTTATCATTGTTTAATTTTTCCTCGACTCCTTCAATGTATTGGAAAATGAGCATGCTTATGACTATATATTATAATTATACGTACATATATTGTTCTTCCACTTGCATGCTTTTAAAAACAAAATCCATAATATATCAATAAATGTATGATGTTAACAAAAGTGATATACTTGCATGATTAAACCAAAATATACATTGTTTGTTCAAATGTACCCACGCATCACCTCAATGTAATCATGCCTCACGCAGCTTCAAAGCAGCAGACTCATGTTCCTCTTTTTCCTATGCAGTTATTTGCAACAATTTCTCTGCAATATCTTAAAATATTTTTGATCTGAAAAGCACATTGAACATGATCTCTTCTGGTCGATTTACTTCTAGCGTGATTCTTTTGGAAACTTTAAATTGTTAGGTGTTTTTTTCCAAGCAATGCACCTAGTGATCCCAATCAAATGGTTTCTTTTCTACTTCTTCATTTTCTTATCGAGAGATGCAAAATATGCTCGTGCATGCGTTAAATAAAAGAATAAGTTATAATGTTCACCTTCCTATTCTCCTTACAAAAGCTGGCTATTGGCTTGGTTGTTTAAGTGATGGCTTTGGAGATCTCAAAATCCCTCCTTCAAGTTTGATGACATGTTTTTTCCTTTTGTCTGGAGACAAAATACAGATTATTTATTTGTTTTTACTGTGACACGTCTTACTGTCCTTAAATTGTTTGTTTCAGGGTTTTTGGCGGGGCAATGTGCCAGCATTACTCATGGTTATGCCATATACGGCCATACAATTTACAGTTTTACATAAGTTGAAGACTTTCGCATCTGGTTCTTCCAAGACAGGTATGTGTTTTGTAATTCAATTGTTGTCCAGTGGACTTGAGCATTTGAGCTTTAATAAGCGATCTGAATTGGTATGCCAGGTGTCTGTTAGGTTATTTTGTTGGCAATTAGTTGTTTGTTTATGTCATCATTATCAATTATTGCTTTAAAAGGATAAGTCCATAAACTCATATTTATTCCAATATCTTGCTCTTGCTAAACTATAGTTTGCTAATGCATTAAGTAGTTTAGAGAAGAATGCTGTTGGTAGTATAATTGTATGCATATAGTATATGTGCTGGTCAAAACCCATTCCATTGCTCATTTTAGAGATATTATTTACTAAGAGTGTCCTGAATTTTTTTCTAACTAAAGGTTTATGTCGTTATCACATATCTTCTGTTGCTGCAGAGAATCACATTCATTTGAGCCCATATTTATCCTATGTCAGCGGGGCATTAGCTGGGTGTGCGGCTACCGTAGGGTCATATCCCTTTGATCTGCTCCGAACTATATTGGCTTCTCAAGGTGAACCCAAGGTATAAACTTTATTTACTTATTAGATGCATTGTCTAATTAGTTAAATTTCCCAATATAGTTTTTTTTATGCCATCATTTATTTCCATTGGCCTATGCCCTACAAGTCTAACTTTAATCCCTTTAAATATTGAGATGCCAAAAGTTTGCTGCCCCGCGCATTTGTGCTTGACAAAATTCCATTTTTTTTCTTGCTTCCAATTGGAGGTTGACGTGGTGTTTGTGGACCTGATTTTTGTAATGATGCTCTGTAAATATTTTCTGCCGTTCAGGTATATCCAAATATGAGATCAGCATTCCTTGATATAGTCAGGACTCGTGGCTTACAAGGCTTGTATGCTGGATTATCACCTACACTAGTTGAGATTATACCCTATGCAGGCCTACAATTTGGCACCTATGATACATTTAAGCGTTGGACCATGGTAAAATTCCAGTCTTTTCTGCTGATGTTTTTTCCCTATTAGTTGTCACTATGCCTTGCATGCATTAATCTTATTTAAGTAATTGTGAAGTTGACTTGGGGATTTTGTATGACCCTGCACTGCAGCTTATTCTTGCTTTTTATGCACCTTTTTATCCAATAATTGTCTGAGTGCTCTTTAAGGTTTCTCTCGCTCAATGTGAAATCTCCATTGTAGATAGAGATGCTTAATTCTTCTATATCTATGAATTACTGTATGATTTACATGACTCCTGTCATGCGCACACAATCAAGTTATATGCATTCATAATGAAGCCATTGACAGCAGTTTCTGCTAGTCTGAATTGTAGCGTGTCCGTGTGATTAATTATGCCTTGTATCTTGTATAAGATCCTCATTTTGTTCATTTAAAATGAAATTGGTGCAAAATAGTGGCAGAAAGGTCAAGTGGGAATTATCTCACCGCAGAATTTTAAATATATTTAGTTTTCCTCTTCTGGTAATCTCATGAAGGATTTAGTTGTTGGATTCATCTCCCGTGCCGATGGATATTCCTTTTTGGTTTTTCTCTTTGTGAGCAAATTTTTGGAACTTACGTATTTTTTTGGGTCATACACTGTTATTATAGGCATGGAATCGTTACAGATATTCCAATACAAGCTTGTCCTCTATAGAAGATGGCCTCTCTAGCTTTCAGCTTTTTATTTGTGGACTGGCCGCTGGGACGTGTGCCAAACTCGTCTGTCATCCACTTGATGTGGTGAAGAAAAGATTTCAGGTAGATCTCTACGAGTTTTTGAACGACAAAATTTTGATTTAGATATTTGGCATTAGCCTTTTCAATTAAAAGTTGACATGTGGAGGAGCTATTTTGATGGAGTTAGTAATGTGCTGTCAAATTGATAAAAATATTTACATTCATACTTTCATTGAAAAATCTGGAAGCAAACACTTAAAATATCTGATATAAGCCTTCTCCATTTTTATTCCCTGTTACTAGCACCATGTGACTAAATATCAAATAAACTGGTGTTGACCTTATTCTTCGAAATTGATGCCTTTTGTGTCGTCTGAAACAAGCATACGATGACATTCAAAAGACATGACATAGGTTATCAGCCTGTTTGATGCTTCATCATTAATCATCATTTTCTGCAGATTGAAGGTCTTCAAAGGCATCCGAGATATGGAGCTCGAGTCGAGCATCGTGCATACCGAAACATGCTTGATGCTATGCAACG